TGCAGCGGTACAGGCAGCAGTGGCGAGCCAGCGGCGGTGGCTCGTGATGTGGAGGCAGGGTGTTACGTGCTCCGAGGCGTCGCTCTCCGTGTTGCGACGGCCCTGCGGCCAGCTCAGCTGACCCTGAGAAGTGAACAGCTTGAGCGCCAGATGCTGGCCACGCGCAGAAGGGGGTAGGGGGTGGGGGGAAGGCTTCTTAGAAGCACCCCTGCTTCTTAGAAGGCGCGGGCCTTCTTTGTAGATGTAAGGCCGGCGCCTTCTAAGAAGCAGCCTCCTTCTAAGAAGCCGTTCCCCCTCCCCTTACCCCCTTGAGCGCCAGACGGAGAGGGCGCGGGTGCACGGGGGCAGTGGCGGCTCCCATGCGGGGGCAAACGTCTCGTGGCCCTCGGCCCGCTCCACCGCTGCGCCTCGTCCGTTTTTCATAGGGCCTGGGGGCACGTCTGGAAGCGTCTTGTGGCAGGGGTCCTGGCAGCTTGCGTGACCTGCTCAGTTGGTCGTATCTTGGGGCCTCTTGGGGCCTCTTGGGGGTCTGGGGAGCATGTTGGAGGGGTCGGGTTTAGCAGTGCGACAGTGGCTGTTGGAACCCTCTTGGGGCCGTATCGGGGGCCTATTGGGCCCCTCTCGGGGGCCTCTCGGGCCATCTTGGGCTGGACTTTCGGGGGCTCTCGGACCATCTTGAACGCTCTTAATCCGATACAAGTGGTTCAGCCGATGTTCGCCTCGCTGGCAAGAGCCCCGGGACGTCCCAGACGGCCAGCGAGATTCCCAGCAGCGCAAGGCTGCACCGAGAGAGCCCACGCGAGCCTAAGCGGCCTAAAGATAGCCACACGGAGCGCCCGAGTCGCTCCAGGTCCGCGGGGTGGCGCACCCTGCCCCCGGGCCCCCCATCCCGCGGTGAGGGGCGCAGAGGGGGCTCGATGACGACCCGGGTCTGTGCGTCTCGGGTTGGCGAGCCTGGAAGGCCCCGAGATCCCTTTGCACACGGCGGCCCTGCTGCGTGCGACGAGCTGCTCACGCAGACGACCGACCGCGAGGTTCTCTGCTCTGGCGCAATACTTCACCACCCACCAAACCACCCCAACCCAACCCGAAGGATCAGATTTGCCCTCGATTTCCAGTGGGGGGGGTCGGGAAACATCGAAAAAACACATGTGGAACCCTTACCCCCCCCAACCCGGAATTCGGGTCTTCGGGTTGGGTTGGGGTGGTCTGATAGGTAGTCAATACTGCGGCGTGCCCGCGCCAACACAGTGGACCCTGCCCATTGAAGTTGGCGGCGATGGTTTCGTTGGCGGTCGCGCTTGCACGAGCAAAGGCGACTCTTGTTGTGGCACGTGTCAATCGGCGGGCGTCAGTGGAGCGCAGTGAGCGCAGCGGACACCCCTTTGGACCGTGCTGACAATCGTTGGAGTGATTCGATGGTGCGTGCCGGTATTTTGCGCGCGATATCAGTTGATCAGATTACGCATCTTCAAGGGCGGTTGTCCTCCAGGGATGGGCTGCGATCCGGTTGCTCCAATTACGTAAGCGAGCCGATCAATGTGTGATTGCGGGCAGCCTTTTGACAGCCATGCAGTTGGGGCCAGCGCAGGATATCCTCTGGGAAGCGGCTTGGTTCACGAAAACATCACGTACGAGCAGCAGGATTCCAGCAGCGGCCATTTCTGGAACGAAGATCGAGACACGGCTGCTTGGGTCGAGAATGTAACACGCCGCAATTGCTCTGTCAAGACAAGGGGCTTCATGAGGCAGCCACACAGAAGAGTGCCGCTCTGGCTTGGGACATGTGTCCGGATCGGTCTTTGGACTTGCCGACTGGGTACATGCCAGGCGCCATGTCGTCAGAGCGCCGCTGATGCAATTATGAAAAAAGAAAGACAGTGCCCCCCTTCAGAGTGCAAGACGATGTGTTTTGGCCCCCCCTCGTTGTCCCCCCCGCCTCCGACGACACGGCTGAATAAAAAGATACGTTAGTGCACGTTCCATATGTTTTCTTTGTCAGTTCTGCCGTCTCTCGCGTGCTACATCTGTGATGCTATTTGGGGTGCAGTGGCTTTACATATACTCGCAGCGACGTTCCACGTTCCATAACGAGGCTCGCTGTTGAGAGTGCTATTCAAGCTTGTTCCAGTGGGGCCAGACGTGGAGCCGCGTTGCGCTCCTTCTGCCAATCGTGACAGCGCGCCGCCGCGGCGGCTGCTGATGGCGGGGGCGAGGTCTACAACGGAAGCCTTCGGGCAGATCATGCGGGAAAAAACACCCAAAACACAAACACACACAATGTGGGGAAAAACACTAAAAAACATTGTGGGAAACACACACACACACACTGTGGGAACAAAAACACGCACTGTGTGTGTGTGTCTGTGTGTGTGTGTCTGTGTGTGTGTCTGTGTGTGTGTCTGTGTGTGTGTCTGTGTGTGTGTGTTTGTGTTTTTTCCCTGCAGGAGGCATGAAAGGAGCCATGCCTCACCAATACAGGGCGGCCTGAGAACAAATGCTGCACAAGAGCCATGGGCCGGTGACAAGCAGATTCCATTCATAGATGTCGCTTGATTGCAGGGAGCTTGAAAGGCGGGTTCCGCGAAAAGCACGCTTGCTTGTCCTAGTGAGTGATATCCCCCGAGGACAGGTCTGGGACGATCGCCGGAACGGCAGGCCCGAGTGGCGTTGGCCTTTCCTGGGGGCGCTCCCCCTGGTGGAGACACATGCTCGCAGTCGTTCGTGAGCAGGGAGCCTGAGACGGGAGGGTGTTTCCAGAGTCGCTGAAGCGTCTTGTTTTTGGCATGGCATCCTCCTCCTCCTCCTCCGCCTCCGCCTCCTCCTCCTCCGCCTCCTCCTCCTCCTCCCTCCCTCCCTCCCTCCCTCCCTCTCTCCCTCCCTCCCTCCCTCCTCCTCCCTCCCCCTCCCTCCCTCCCTCCCTCCCTTCCTCCTCCTCCTCCTCCTCCTCCTCCTCCTCCTCCTCCTCCTCCTCCTCCTCCCTCCGCCCAGCCCCCCAGGAAGAAGACCAAAAGCCTCGTTCCTTCCTCGGTCCTCCTCGGTCCTCCTCCTCCTCCTCCTCCTCCTCCTCCTCCTCTTCATGGGAATGCGTGCATGCTAATGTATATTCCGCGGCCACGGTTTCTCAAGCCAATCTTTGACCGTGAGAGAGGATGCTCACGTAGACATTCGCTTGTCTCGTGTCGATCTGCAATTTCTGCCTCCTTGCGAGATATTGGTGGAGCCCGCCAGTGCAGCCTGCACCAGCGTGCGGGTGCACCTGCCATTGTTCCGAAGGCAGCTCGTGGTGGCCCCCTGTGCTCATCGGCCTGAGGCTGTTGTGGCGGGCGTCGCCCGTGCAGGTGCAGGCGACCGACGTGAAGCAGCGGCGGGGCCAGATCACAGCCGGTCCGCCGACTAACGACGGCCAGCCATGGCTCTGGCACGGCCGCGCGTGGGACAGCGCTACTGGGTGCTGTTTCATCTCGCCGAGGGGCTGTGGCACGAGCGTCTGTGCCTGTTCAAGTACGAGACGGGGATCACCGTGGCCACCCCAGACGGGGATATCTACGCTGAGGAGTGCACGGACTACGAAGACCTGGCCCTCCCAGGGCCCCAGGGCGGCGTGCCTCGCCGCTTGTATCCGAGGCGGTGCTACCACTTCGACCCAGGCGGCCTGGACGATGACAGCAAGCTGCGCGCGGACGCCGCCCGCCAGCTGGTGAGGTTGCTCGCGAGCGGCGAGTACCCAGCGGCGCCGCTCCCGCTTCCTGAGGCGGGGAACGCGGCGGCGCTGGTGCCCGCCAAAGACGGGGCGGCGGCTGGCGCAGGCGGCGGCACGCCTACCCCACGCAACGGGCCACCGAAGGAGCTCGATGATGTGCCGCGTGGGACGACCTGGTACCAGCTCACTGACGTACTTGGCCAGCGGATGCATGACCAGGTGACGGTGGGGCTGAACGATCGGTGTATCACGGACGGGCGCTCTGGACCTCGCATCCGCGACGGCGAGACCGTTCCGGTGTCCGCGCTGCGGCCGCAACGAGCTGGAGACGACGACGTGAGGACGCTGCCGGTGCAGTACAACCCGCGGGGGAGGAGGACGCGCTCGTTCCAGAGCGCGCGAGGCACCTTCACCGAGGAGACCTTCGATGACTTTTCCGTCCGCGGCCCGCGGATGACCGGCTGGCTGGCGGAGGCGTTCCACAAGAGTGGTCAGAGCTCCGTGGCCCGCCACCATTGGTGGAGACAGATGCTGGGCGCGACGACGGCGGATCCTGGGATAGACGACCACCTCTTCCTCGTGGAGTTGTTCGAGGTCGGCGGGCAGTACGACCAACTGAACTTGCCGAACAGTGCCGCCCTCGAGGCGATCGCCCGCCGCTATCTGTGGTGGGGGGAGAGGTACGCAGAGAAGTTGAAGCAGGTGACGGAGGAGCCGGGAGCCGCCGCCGGTGCGGCGGCAGAGCGGCACCTCTTCCTCGGGGTCGCGTCGGGCAGTGCTGTGCTGGTGGCGCCGAGCCTGGCCGAGTACGGGGCCGAGAAGATGGGGCAGGAGAGCAAGATCTTGAAGGAGCGCTGCAGGGGGCGCGAGGAGCGCAACCTGGCCGCGCTGGCGTCTTCTGGCTCTGGCGGCGGCGGGGGCGGCGGCGCGGCAGGCCCAGCAGCCCGCGATGGCCAGGGCGGGAAGAAGAGGCCGCCCAAGAAGCAGAAGCCCGAGGAGGGCTAGCTGCTCGTGGGCATCTGCATCACCCGGTCGCCTTGCGCGCGACGCCCCATCGTGTGCGAGGCTAGTTTTTTGAGGGAGGCCATCGGCGGCCGCCATGGCTTTACAGTCACATCGCGATGTGTTCCCCCTTCCCTGCGCCCCTCCACCGCCTGGCCTGTGCTCCACAGGCCCTTCTGCTCGGTGGCTGCAGGAAGGGATTCGAGCGCTGAACTCGATCGGGGGTCGTGGTCAGACGACGCCAGCTCAGCCGACGACAGTTTTGCAGGCTCACGCCTTGTCTCGTCTTGCTGGCATGTATGCTAGGATACCCGAGCTTCCGAGTGATTTGACCGTCCAGAGTGCCGTCAAGGCCACTTTGGGAACCGACCCTGGTTATGGTGAGGACCTGACCAGCGGGAGCCACGCACTCTACCAACGAGGCAAGGTGTCCTTGCCTCGCGTCGCCACCGGGGTCACACGTCTCGAGGATGCGTTGCCTGCCTCGGATCGCTCTCTGTTGGTAGGGGAATCCACGGGACTTCTGATGGATGCCGCTTCTGCCGGCAACTGTTTCGCAGGAAAGCTGGCCTTCGATCCCCGACTCGCGACGGGCAAGAAGGCCTACGGGCGATTTTTGAGTGATCTCTTGTCTCGTCAGATGCTGGAGGTCGGGGAGGCTACAAAGTTGGTCACCCCCTTTTTGTCAGAAAAAAAGACGGTGCCCTGCGTCTCATATTCGATACGCGTGCAGCTAATACCTCGTTTTCCCCCCTCTGTATACCTCTCTTGCTGCTGCTCAGGCGCTCAGCTCGATTGAAATCCCGACTGGGGCTTCTCTGCACTGTGCCCAAGGGGACGTCACTTGCTGTTTTTATCAGTTTCTGCTGCCTGAAGATCTGCGAAGCTTTTTCGGGCTTCCGCCGGTGCATTGGTCCGACCTTCCCGTCCGGGTAAGACACGCCCTGGGCCCGGCCGATCCCTCTGGGTTGGTCAGGTTCAGGCTCCGCGTTGTACCTATGGGTTGGTCGTGGGCAGTGTACTTCGCCCAGTCTGCAATGAAGAACCTTCTGGCCCCCGCCGTACCCAGGGATCCCTTCCTTACCCAACACAGACCCTTGGACCCCCTCTCTGAGCAAGGCGCCGTCAGTGCTATATACGTCGATAACTTTGCGTCTCTCTCGCTCTCGGCCGCACGCTCGAGTGACGGGCTTGCGCGTATGCTGTCCGCCGTGCAAGGCGCTGGTCTCGACGCTGACGCGGAGCCCGACGGCGCCCCCTTTCTTGGGTACTGATTGGATGAGTCTGGGTCGTCTTGGGCCCCCTCGGGGCGTAAGTTTTGGAGGATTTCCCCGGCTTTGAAGGCGGTCTCCCAGGGCAGGGTTCGTCGGACTGGACGTCAGATCGCTCGTCTTGTAGGGCATGTGTCGGCTGTATTTCAGCTTCGCCCCGAGCTGCTCTCTATCTTTTCGGCAGCTTACACCTTTAGTACGCGTTTTCGGGACCGACCTTCGTGGGTCTGGAGCTCGGTTAGACACGAATGTTGGCTGGCATGGGCTCTCTTTCCCACGGCTGTTGCTCGGCTGGATACTCCCTGGAGCTCCGAGGTGACCTCAGTGGACGCTTCACTTCACGGGTTCGGCGTCACGGCGTGCAGGATCGAGTCTAGCAGTGTCGGCAAGGTCGGGGGAGTCAGCGAACGTCGTCGATTTCGTGGAGAGCTGCGAAAGCGCTCCAGGCCGCGGGACGTCCTGGAAGATGTGGAGGTGCCCTTCTCGTTCCTCGCTCGTGGGTCCGATCTCGACTTCTTGGAGACTGGTGCTCTGACGGAGTTCCCCGAAGTTCCCGAGTGGCTCGCCAAGGACTCCCCCTGGTGTGTCATTGCTGCGAGGAGGTGGAGGAGGAAGGAGAAGATCTTGAACCTGGAGGCGGAGGCGGCCCTGTGGGCTGCACGGCGTATCAGTCGTGACAAGCGTCTGGGAGACCACCGTCACCTCATCCTCAGCGACTCGATGGCCTGGGTATGTGCAGCCACGAAAGGAAGGGGGAGCCCCTGGTTCCTCCTACGTCGGTGTCGCGAGTTGCGTGCGCTCGCCGTTGCCTCAGGGTGCCGCTTTGTTTATCGATGGATCCCCTCAGAGTGGAACAGCGCCGATGCCCCGAGCCGAAGGTACGACCCTGTCAGCGAGCATCACGCCAAGTACTTCTATGTCAGTAACCCTGGTGGCTCGGAGTGCTCTCCGAGCCGCGACGCGCCCACCCCGCTTTCGAAGTCTTTGGAGGCGGTCATCGGCGATGGAGTGCCGCACCCTCCGGGCCTCCGACGCCTCGCGGCCGCGGTCCCGTTCGCCTACGGCTTGCCGGGGCCTTGGGAGGCTGCGGGCGGCGGTCAGGCTGGACACGGCGCCGCCGCCGACGACGTCGCCTGCGAGCCCGTCCCGAGTGACCGCCCGCCTCTCGGCCGCTCCCATCGCCAGCCTGCCCGCGGCTCGCCACCACTTGGGGTCGGGGCCGGCAGGGAGCGCCGAGGCGCGGTCCGCGCGCTGGGCGGGCCGCGCTCGGAGGCGGCAGGTGCGGCAGGCGATGCGCCAGGCGCCGTCGACACTGATCGAGAGTGCGGGGCTGGCAGCCGCCCGCCTGGCCGAGCTCGGCTTCCGCGCGTCCGCGCTGGGAGCGGCGTGGGTCACGCCGGCGACGCAGGACAACTGCCTGACGCACCTGGAGATGCGGCTAAGGTGGCTGATGCTGAGGGAGGCTCCGACGCTCGTCAAGGACGAGTGGGATCTTCTCCTCGCGAGCTACATCGAGCACCTGTACGACTCGGGGGCGACCGAGAACGCCGAGGGAGTGACGCTGGCTGCAGTGCGGTGGGCAGAGCCTGCCATTCCGCGGCCGCTCCGCCGAGGCCCCCCCCTGGCCTCAGACGCGCTGGCCGGCTGGCGGCGGGCCGAGGCGGGCCGGACGAGGCTGCCGATGCCGCGCGAACTGGGTGTCGCGATCGCCCTGGACCTGTGCGACTCCTGCTTGCCGAGCCTGGGGTTCTTCGTGATGCTGGTCTTCGAGACGTATATGCGGCTCAGCGAGGTCCTGTCTCTGCAGCGCTCCCAGCTAGTCCCACCATGCGGCCACGGGCTGCCCGGGACCTAGGGGCGGTGGGCTGCGCTGATCCGGGCCCTCGAGCTCGGCAGGCCTGGCAAGACAGGCGACTTCGACGGCAGCGTGAGCCTCGACTCTCCACGGCTCCAGCTGCTGGTGCCAGGTCTCGAGGAGATCCTCCGCAGGCGGGGCGAGCGGGACCCAGTGTTCCTCTTCGACTACGTGACGCTGCTCAGGCACTGGCGAGCGGCATGCATGCGGCTCGGCCTCGAGCACCTGCACCTGACGCCTTGCTGCCTACGGCAGGGGGGCGCGTCGGAGGATCGGGCAAGCAACTCTCGTCCCATGCTGGAGGTGATGAAGCGGGAAGACTGGAAGACCTACTCGAGCCTGGCCAGGTACGAGAAGCACGCGCGGCTCGGCCTGGTGGCGCAGCGTGCCGGAGCGGCAGTAGTCTCAGATGCCCGACGTCGCGAACCAGAGTTGACCAAGCTCTTTCTCGCAGTATGGCAACCGCCAGACGGGATGCCACGATCGGCCACTGTAAAGTCTTCCTCGATATCTTCTCAGGCACTGGTCCTGTCGGACGCTTTCTGAGAGCGAGGGGTCACGGAGTCATCTTTTTTGAGAAAAAGCTGGGACCTCGGCACGACATCAGACGCACGCAGGTCTTTGCTACAATTATAGGGTGGCTCCGCGCCGTGAGGCTGTGGGGCTTTTGGTTGGCAACGCCTTGCGTGACCACAACGCGAGCTCGCCAGAACGGTGCCGCAGGCATGCCACCTCCGTTGCGGTCTAACGAGCATCTTCGCGGGCTGCCAGGACTGAGCGACAAGCTTAAGGAGCAGGTGCGCGAGGCCAACACCCTCATCGATCGTGCAGGCTTGCTGCTGAAGACCGCTGAGGGCTTGGGAGTGCCGTGCGGGGAAGAGAACCCAGCCACTTCGTTGCTGTGGCTCTTTCCTGTGCGCCAGCGGCTGCTGACGAAGTGGCCGCATCCCAGTGTTGACTTCTGCTCTTGCGGATTGCCTGTCCGCAAGCGCACTCGCTTGCTTTTTCTTCACGCTGGTAGTCCTGATGCAGCTCATTTTGTCTGCTCTGGTCGTCGTGGCATCTGCAAATTCTCTGAAAAGCCACATCTTGTGATCAGTGGTAAATTGCGCGGTGCTTGGGTGTCCAAGCTAGCAGAGCCATATCCGCCTCCCATAGCTGAGTTTATTGCACGATGTTTGGAGAATTCTGTTCAACGTTTGGCAGTGGCACAGCTCTCTAAAATATGCTGTGCCAGATCACCGGTGGCTTGTGGGCCGTGAGAATGGTTTGAAGTCCGGCGCTTTTCGCGCCAAGTGGTGATGTGTCTCGGCAAGCTGCCTCTTGAAAAACTGGCATCGTCTTCATGGGAATGCGTGCATGCTAATGTATATTCCGCGGCCACGGTTTCTCAAGCCAATCTTTGACCGCCCTTTCAACGCCAAGCCCGAGCCCTGCAATTGTTTGTTCAACAGAAGTGGTTTGAAGTCCGGCGCTTTTCGCGCCAAGTGGTGATGTGTCTCGGCAAGCTGCCTCTTGAAAAACTGGCATCGTCTTCATCATCATCATCATCATCATCATCATCATCAGCAGCATCATCAGCATCATCATCATCATCATCATCATCCGCCTCCTCCTCCTCCTCCTCCTCCTCCTCCTCCTCCTCCTATTCCTCCTCCTCCCCCCCCCTCCTCCTCCTCCTCCCTCCGCCCAGGCCCCCAGGAAGACCAGAAGCCTCGCTCCCCCCTCGCTGTCCCAGCGGCCCCCCCGCCAGGCAGGTCAGCTGCGAGCACAAGGAGGCGGGGCCGGCCCCCGCGGGCCCGGTGCCCCTTGCGGAGCTGTCGCGCCCAGGGTCGCCGTGATCCTCGTTCTCCTCCTCCTCCTCTTCCTCCTACTCCTCCTCCTACTCCTCCTCCTCATCCCCCTCCTCTTCGCCGTCCTCCTCCTCCTCCTCCTCCTCCTCCTCCTCCTCCTCCTCCTCCTGCTCCTCCTCCTCCTCCTCCTCCTCCTCCTTCTCCTCCTCCTCCTCCTCCTCCTCCTCTTTGCCGTCCTCCTCCTCCTCCTCCTCCTCCTCCTCCTCCTCCTCCTCCTCCGTCCTCCTCCTCCTCTTCGCCCTCCTCCTCCTCCTCCTCCTCCTCTTCCTCCTTCTCCTCCTCTCCTCCTCCTCCTCCTCCTCCTCCTCTCCTCCTCATCATCATCATCATCATCCCCCTCCTCTTTGCCGTCCTCCTCCTCCTCCTCCTCCTCCTCCTCCTCCTCCTCCTCCTCCTCCTCCTCCTCCTCCTCCTCCTCCTCCTCCTCTTCGCCGTCCTCCTCCTCCTCCTCCTCCTCCTCCTCCTCCTCCTCCTCCTCCTCCTCCTCCTCCTCCTCCTCCTCCTCCTCCTCCTCTCCTCCTCCTTCTCCACCTCCTCCTCCTTCTCCTATTTCTCCTCCCCCTCCTCTTCGGCGTCCTCCCCTCCTCCTCTCCTCCTTCTCCTCTTCGCCGTCCTCCTCCTCCTCCTCCTCCTCCTTTTCCTCCTCCTCCTCCTCCTCCTCCTCCTCCTCCTCCTCCTCCTCCTCCTCATCCTCGTCCTCCTCCTGCCCCTCCTCTTCGCCGTCCTCCTCCTCCTCCTCCGCCCCCCCATGGGCTCACGCCCGCGGCGCTGCGAGACCACCGGTCGATGGGCTCTGGCCAAGTAGAATCACGCTGTGTGCGTGTCGGCCCCGCAGTGGCGACGCGCACGCTCAGACAGCTTACAGGGAGCGGCTTGAATAAGGAACACTTATTTTTTAAAAGGGGCTCGGTCGTTCCTTCGGTTGGCATGCGTTCAGCTAATTACCTTTGTGCCGCTAGGAAGGGGCGCGGCCGTTCCTTCGGACTTCGTAGACTTGCTTGGAACACACAAAGGGACCTCGTTTCTTACTTAGCGTTCCTTAGGTCAGGCCGATGACTGCATTGTGTAACCTCCGTCGAAAGCACTTTCTGACCAGCCCTGCCTGGGCAACGAAACATCCATGATAATATTGTACGATGTGTTCCGATCGGACGTGCGTCCCAACAGAAGCGCATCAATTTGGCCCAACCTCTTTCTAGGGGATTGGGGGGGCAGAGGCCCAGGGTTCGACTTGGGAGGTCAACGGCCTGCCCTTGGGGAGCGCGTCCATCCGCGATTGGCGTTCTGCCCCGTGTTCCACCGAGCCATCGTGCTGAATGGCGGATCCCCTTTTCCCTCCATTAGGACGACAATTTGATTTGACCCCGTTCAAGTCCCAGCAGAAGCGGGTGTGCCACCATATCGATCCGGCCCTGAGTTCAATATCCAATGACCACGGGCAGATTTGGCTAAGGCACCAAGCGCCAGTTGGTAGGGCCTCGATACCCTACCTGGCAGCTGCTCCTGCAACGCCCAGGCACCTGGGGACCATCCACCCCTCACGCAAGAGGTCTCTTGCCCCTCCTCGGGAGCCTCTTGCCCCAGAAGGAGGGAGGAGGGAGGAGGGAGGAGGGAGGGGGAGAGGAGGAGGAGGAGGAGGAGAGGAGGAGGAGGAGGAGGAGGAGGAGTTCTAGTCCGATCGCCCCTTGCCCCTCCTTGGGGGCCGCAGCTGCGGGCCCGCAGGGGGCCCAGGGCCGCGGGCTGCCGTGGGCCCCGAGCGGCCCGCGCCCTCTCGCGTGCCCTCGCCCTGGCGAGGACGTCGTCGTCCTCGTCGTCGTCGTCCTCGTCGTCGTCGTCCTCGTCGTCGTCGTCCTCGTCGTCGTTGTCCTCCTCCTCCTGCTCTTCGCCGTCCCTCCTCCTCCTCCTCCTCCTCCTTCCTCCTCCTCCTCCCCTCCTCCTCTTCGCCGTCCTCCTCCTCCTCCTCCTCCTCCTCCTCTCCTCCTCCCTCCTCCCTTCGCCGTCCTCCTCCTCCTCCTCCTCCTCCTCCTCCTCCTCCTCCTCCTCCTCCTCCTCCTCCTCGGTATCGATTCTGGCCGGCCCGATGCTTGCGCGGCGCCGTTGTGGATTCTGGCGCAGCCGATCTGGTTCGATTTCGATTCCGTGCCGATGCAGCCCGTTCCGTTGTACATTCCGATTCGATCCGATTTCACGACTCTATGTTGATTAACATTGTTTGCCTTGTTCGCTTTCTATGTAGAGGATCGAAACCTTTTGGGGTCCGCGTCATTGATAAACTCAATGGCACCTGGGGTCTGGACTCGCGCGTGTCACTTCCACCATGATGAGGGCCCAGCAAAATAAGACGCAGCCGGCGCGACTGCTTGTTGTCTGCGGGCCCGAGGCTTAGAGTCCGTCCAGTCCTTCTTTCGTCTCGTGCAGCGCGACGCTCCTCAAGGGGAATTGGCATGCGGCGTCCGCCACTGTCGGGACCGAGGGGGTATATGGTGGATGAGATGGATGCGTTTCTACCTGGATGAGCGGGGCTAGTTGACGGCTGGACTACGACGAGAAGAATTCGATGGTAGCCTTCTCGATTAGCACGATGTCATACGATGTCGAGATGGGTTTGCTGAAAAGTGGCGAGGTTGATGTTCTCCCTTGTCTCCCCTGGTGGCTGTCAACGCTTACAATGATATGACATGCATAGGCCTGCAGGCATGCAGCTCACGTTTGCTCCCCATCACTCCGGCCAGGGAGGTCACAGTGCGCGCCTCTTTGCTGCAAACCGTCCCTGTGCACTCCTTCTGGCCAGCCCTGCCAGTGCCCTTTGGGGGATGCGGCGTTCAACGTTGCGCCCGGAGCCGGAAGCTGGCAGAAACCCAGCGCGGTAAGCAACCCCCGCTTCGGCCGACAGAGGCGGGCCGATGGGCCGGCCCAAGTCTGGTGGAGAATGGCGATGGCAGATAGATGCAATAGCTAAGTCGCGTGCTTGGGACTGGCACCGCGCGCTATGGGCTGGCGCTTGGGGGGCGGCCTTCTAAGAAGACGGGGGACTTCGTAGAAGGCTGGGGTCTTCTACGGTTAAGTCCGGCTTGTCCCTCTACAGCGGGAATATTCAAAACATACTCAAAAAATAGTTTGGGGACGATTTTTTCAGCATGTCATGAACAGTTGAGTGCATGTTTGGGGTATTCCTAATTTTTGGTCCGAAATCCGACTGAAGGGGGACACGCCTGGCCTAATTCTACGGAGCGCCTGCATGCTTTCGAGACGCCCTCCCAGCCTGGGAGTGCGCCTGAGAAGCTACCTGCCTTTTATAACTGCTCCCCCGCCTTCTTTTAAATCGGGTGCGTCCGGGGATTTTGGGCGAAAAATGTAAAAAGATTCAGCAAATACCCCCAAATGGGCA